CCTAGCTCTGCTTTTGATGGTATTGCATGTGTTTTTTTTGTTAACTTGTTGGTGTAAGTGATGAAACTAAATTTTAGGATTTATTCCTTGTGAGGGTCTGTGGGTTCTAACCCAAGATTTGCCCATTTATCTGATTGTTCTAGAGTTATTAGGCATCTCGGAGGAAGCGGTTTATTCTGACATTTTTTCTAGGGTTGTTTAAATGGCTTATCTTATACTGGGAGGTATTACCTGTCCAGCTGTCTTGCACTTCATCCTTGTAGCAAAATGGAAATATTGCTCTCTTTAATTGTTTCCAAATTTCAAAATTTCGGTGCATTTGCTGAAAATGACAACTATTAATATGTTAATACCAGTTTTGAGTGGAAACTCATTGTATAACTTAAGTACGTGGTAAAATGTTGTTTTCAAAGTTTCTTCAACTCAACATATCATGTGGCAAAATTTTGAAGCTTTCTTCATGTATTTGTGGGACTCTTTGCTCTGTAAAATAGCTACTGTGATGACTTAGGAGCAGAAACGGGCCAAATGGTGCATGGTAATCTTACCACTGTACATCTCTCTACCTCGTCCTCTCCACATATCCGCAACATCTTCTTAAGTGTATCTAGTTATCAAATTTCAATAGGTTTTCTAAATATTTTCTGAAAGAACTAACCTATTACCAATTGCCAGGTAAAAAGAAGAAGAAAGATCTTATCATATCTGAACCATATCCAGAATCTGAGTATAATCCTAATCGTGATATTCTTGATGGAGATGGCTGGATTAGCATTCTTGACCTTCTGGACCCGCTTCATGGGAAGTTTGGCTTCAGCAAACTTAGGAAGAACTTCCTCCGAATTGAAAGTAAGTCTATGCCCATTCACACGCCAATTCCAAAACCAGATCAAGAGAGATTGGAGAAAAGGGCTGCTTATGAACAATCTAAGAAGGATATTACCAGGTGGGAACCTTTGGTCAAGAGACACAGAGAGGCACCTACTTTATATTTTGATGAGGATGTAGACTTGGGGTTTTCAACTGTAGGAGCAATAGCTTCTGAATTTGAACCCAGAACTGATTTGAGAAGAAAATTGCTTCCTTGGTGAATGATAATGAAGTCGTGGAAGCTCACAAGAAAGATGGT